TCTATCCTTTTCCTAAGGAGTACCAGGTCATTGACTGTTGTTTCTACAGTTCCTTTCCCTGAGTTTTCTTTGTTTCCCATGTCTCTATTGAGCGGTTGCTTCCCATTCGAATATAATATGGGTGGCAGTTTCTTTCTCCTCATTGCATAACCTACAAATTAGGTCATCATTGAATATACCATTTGGTGTTCAGATGGCCGTGACCGGTATATTGTCCTATCACTCCCCTGAGTTTTACCCTATAAATTGTACTGAATAACTGTATCAATGTGTATTGAGATATATTCTTTCAACAATATTCATTCCATATAATGACATACTATCGTTCTTCTCTGTTTCTTGTTCCCGTGTCCTCGGCCAGAAACCTGGACGTTCTTCACAGCATGGACCTTCTCCTTTCCAACAATGTACTGCGAAGTAAATTTTATTTTGTGTAATTTTGATATTGTATTTAAACTTGATTCCAAAACTCATTTTTTGGTTGTTGAGTCCTCCTTTTGTTAAAAGAAAGCCCTGACTATCCCATCCCCTGATTACCAATTATACCTTATGCACGCATTAGCCGTTCCTCAGGGAAGCTTTCTCGGTCCATTTCTTTTTTCAATATACAGATATTCCTAGGCGTGTTAACATTTCAACACATACATTCGCTGATGATACATATGATTCTTCCATGTAATTCGGACCCCTCTATAAAACACTCAACAATTTCAACAACACCTGAATGACCTGATGATTCACAAACATATTGTCAAAGGAGAATCAAAACAAATTTAAAAAAAGGGTGCAAAATACATTTTATTATTTGATAGTTACCCATCATCTTGGTCTGCTTCGCTGATCATGGATGGTTCAGACGAGTTTCACCATTCCGCCATTTTCTCCATCGATCGAAACTCGACAAAAGTCAACAAGGAAAGGCGGACAAAGATGGTAAGTAACTGTAGCGGTAAGTGAACTGCCCTAAGTGGCTATGTGCGAACAGTTTTGTTATTCAAATAAAAAGTGTTGTCAGATGGGACAGCCGGCGGAACAATCGTGCACATATTTGTAGCATGCGCCTATCATAAACGACATCGTAATTCATAATTTGAGAGTCGCTACTTCTCACTTAGGCCTATGCCCCTGTAAGACGTAAAACAAATTCACATATGAACTCAAAGCAATTCAGTTTTATAGTCCTTATGCTCGAAATTATACGTTGTGAGAAACTATGTCGTTTGTTCAACCACCAACTATCAAACAATAAGTTTATCATGGCCTTTTCGTAGATGAACGATTGACTTGGAATCCCTGAAAAGACCAGAAACAAACCGACGACGTTATAAATTACTAAAAAGACTGCCTGACACACGATCAAATCAAAGAACTTTTAATTTCCAAGTTGTGATGAGATTCAGAAATCGTGAGATGCGATCTGGTGTGATGTAGGTTTCAGAAAAACATTTTCTTTATCGCGCCAACGTTTCGATCTTTATTGAGATCATCTTCAGGGCTCACTAAACACCACACACGTTATGCTGAGACCTTTCTGGGCATACGGTTGCGATGTGTGGGACCCAAAAGGATTCCAAATTCCAACGTCTCCAATCAATTCCGTCTAAAATTCTCCCTCAAGTTGTAAATGGTCTTTTTTATGTCTGAAAATCATACTATTCATAACGGCCTACACATCCCGTATGTACATGATATATTTAAAAATTCCCATCAATCATTAAACGTCCTCAATAATCTACTAGTACGATAATTATCCCTTCCAACCTTACCAGTAAATCCTCTAAAACGATTGAAGCGGAAGTGGCTACCTTCTCAGTGAGTGACTAACTTCTCATTGTGGCTCAAATGGCACAATCAGCATAAATCGAAAATATTTACTCAATATAATATTTGTAATTATAAATAACAAATAAATTTAATTTAAAAAAACCTTTACTTATAAATTTAAATTGAACCATTTCTAACCGTGAAATATGACTTTTGTACGTTTCAGGATGGGATATGAGCGGTTGAGTTCAGCAGCCTTTGGTTCTCCGGAACTGATGATACTTTCTTTTTCCATGGGGAAAAAACTATCACGATGGCAAGGTCGCCTGACTTGCTGAATCACGGCGAATTCGGTTGAACGATTTCAATCCGGCTTTTTTAAAAAACATTTTTATATAAAGTGCTGCGCGTTCCCTTTGGAAAAAATATATCTGTGATATTCGAAACGTCGTTACCCGGAACCGAGCCGAGGTCCCGAGAATAGCTGACGTATTTCGTATTTACTGCACTTGTGCAAGGGATATTTGATCTCTTCCTCTGCTCGTTTCTGCGAAATCTCAACGGATTAATAAACTGACGACGGCTGGAGTAATCTAAGACCAGTTTCTGCGTTAGCCGACGGGATGTTAATGGGTTTTTGAATCAGGGGGATCAAATAGTTTTATGATTTCGCACAGATGGGTAATTAATTAAAAAGTATTGATAAAATTTTTAAAATAATTAGAAAAAGCTCCTTATTCTTGAAGGTCAACGTACTGAAAATAATGATAAACAATAATAGATTGTAATAGATTTTTGGATTTGTATACGCTCAAATCCGCACACGTACGTACATACGGACATGTGCGGGCATATTCGCTTCTCGTAGTCCACCGGCAATTCCAGATTTTGCTATTTACAGTAAACTTCCGGCAGAGAATCACTCACCTCAGGGCTGTCAGCAGCCTTAACCGTCCAGCCACTGAGTGATCCCGGGGGGGGGGTTGCAGTCAACAGGTCAATTCAGCATCCAACGCATGCAGTTCCACACCCATTCATACTCACGTTCATTCTTATATACATTCACTCCTCTTTACATACCATCCATTCAATTAGAGCAATGGAGTACTCGATATTCCTATTATACAACTAACCTAATTGAGGGTCGACATCACTAATTCACGCTAATAAATTCATTCATTCTTAACAGGATTGTAATAGAATAAAACAGTATAAGTACATTTTATTACTATAATTTAAGTTATTTCTTAAGAACGTAAATAAGTATAAAAACAGTTTAGCCATTGAATTGAATGGCATACAAAAAATGTGCTGTTGCATTGGTACATTATAAGCGGCACAATGTTAATACAATTTTACAATGAGATAATGGTGATGATGAGGATACTATGACACAGAGAGTTGGTCCTCCCAAGCACTGCAACCTTCTAGCTTATTGTGCTTTTCTTAGCTCCTTAGTTCAATTCAGTTGACTTGATCCTTTCTGAAGATTATTGAATTCCTGGGTAATCTTGACACCTGAGATTATCTCTCCATTGAACAGATAGATAATATGGGAGGCAGTTTCTTCCTCATCGTCCATCAACCTACAAATGGAGTCATTGATGAATATACTGATGTGCAGTGGTTTTCCCAGATGCCATTGACCAGTACTAATGCTCCCTTGAATTCTTCTATGTTTAGCAGCACCTGTGCATTTGCTAGTTTTGGCAAGGGTTCTTTAATCATGGGTGTACTATGACAGACACTTTCGAGTTTGTCCATTTGTCCTTTTGTTTTGTGTGGACCTGTGGAGGTGTTTTGTTTTGTTATCCAAATTATAGGCTCTGGGCATTTAGTTGGTCTTGCAAATCCTCCTCTAGCCAGTTACATGCTAATTCATTACCCAAAATTACTTTATGCCCTGACACTCAAGATATTTTTAGTTTGTTTGTTTTCCCAGTTTTTGAATGTATTCGCCGACTTCTTTCAATGTGAATTTTTTACATGTTGTTATGGCCACTTGGCTTGCTCATTAAGAGGATTAATTTTCTACAACACACCATTAATAGCATATATTTCAACTTGATAGACCAATGTGTACTTCTTGTTTGATTTTCATTGCTCAAATTTGGGTTTGTACAGAATATATCTGACTCTTTTCCTTTTTGTAGTGATCTGTATATATAATTTAATTTTTACCTATTTTTGGCTAAGAAAGGATGTTTTTGGGATAAATTGATTAATTTTCTCTCCTACCTGCTGACCTGAGAAATCATAAAAAATTCTGCAATATACCAGTTTTTAATTTTTTTTTTATTTTTCAAAAAAATTAATTATAGACTGTTTACACTATCAAACAATATTACAGCATTTTCATATTTGCAAAAAAAAAATAAATAAATAAATAAATAAAGATATCTAATTGGTATATGAAAAGCATAAATTTATTGTTACTTACAAATAAAATTAGTTCCTAAAATCTGGCGTAGTGTTCTCCTAGTGCTTTCTACAATCCATATTTTTTTATGTTTCATTCTACCAGCTTAATCTAGCTTCTCCTCATCACTCTATTATCCCATTATTTGGGATTAAACAAGTAAAAAAATTATCCATAGTACTGTACATTTTGGGTGTTAGCTGAGCTAGCCAATATATTACAAAGGGGTTATTTTTTTAAACGTTGAAATAACAACAATGTTGATTTCTTTTTTTGATTTCTTAGGTCATAGAATTAATAATAAATGAAAGTAAATATGTACAAATACAAAACCCTTACCTAGCACAGTTTTTTTCACAACAAGCACAATCTATTTTGAAAACTTCGATGTGAAAATAGAGAGACCTTTCCTGTTATTCTTCACTAAGCGATTATTTTTATTACTAATGTGTTAAATAAATCCATTTTTATGCAAACATAAAAATAACTTGGGTTAAATAATAAACATTCTTGTTAGCATCTATGATTGCTGATAATCCAGAAAATTAAAAAAACATTTAAAATTGACAGTTGGCTAATTAACATATTTAATGCATTCTGTACAATGTATTTATTGTACAAAATATAACATAAGGGTTATGTAAACAAGACTTTCAAATGAAAATATATTTATTGAGAATGAAGTAGATTGTGTTAGGATAAAATAATACAAATATTTTTTTACAATTTATTTTATTAATAGGCAATAGGAACAACAAATTCTTTTATAACAAGTTTTCAATGTACAATGAAAATTTCCCTTTTTGTATTTATGTTGAAAAACTTATCAAATACAACATTGCAACTCACCTAATAATCTCCTTTCATAAAGTGATATGACTTAAAATTGTTGCTACCTGGTGTTTTGGCTTTTTAAAATTTTATTTTTGTATTTAATTCAAAAGTGATATAAAAATGGCTCCCACGATAATGCATAAAGCAAAAGTATTAATAAAAAACAACAAAATATTAAAATAGTACATATTATTAGTAAAATTTTTATATTTACCATATCAAAAATCAAAATAATGATATTTCATTTCATTATTGCTACAATTTTCTGCTACAATATTTAATAAACATGTTTTTAAAGTGGGGCAAAATTCTGAGCAATTGGCAAAAATCTAATGACTCATCTAATAATACTCTATTTACAATGAAAAACTGTTTATTTTTTCTCCAACACACTCTTTTTTATTACTTCTGTTCTTCCAATACAATTGAAACGTTCTAATAATTAGCTATTAATTATTGACATTTGTATTTTACACACTAGACTACTAAATTTTCAACAATATCCTATGCTTCTTCTCACCCCATTTTAAAATCTATAGTTAATTAATAATAAACCGTAATTACACATATCTTTGCTAATTGCACGGCTTGTGTTATAAATGTAACAATTATTGATGTCACCTCAGAAACTCGGTAATTTTGTTCTAAGTTACTGCTAATAAAAAAATAAGTGAAATGAACTTTGCTCCTTATAAAATTTGACTACTGATTGCCATGTCGATCTTACCACTCTTCACAATAGGGCACTTAGTATATATTTTCCTAACAATATAATATAATGTAGTATATTCATTATTAGATAAAACATAAAATTAAATGCACAATTATTTAACAAGAGGCAAACCATCGAAAAACAGTATCAATCATTCTACCATTCTACAGCATGGTAAACGAAGGTGTTTCGGTAATTATATTGTAGGTTAAAGTTTGATGTATTTTCTTCCATTTTTTAAAAATCTTCAATCAGTTATTCTTGGAAGACTCATTTTATATGATAGTAACATCAATTTTAAGGACAATATTCTATTTCAAATCTGCCAGGTGTAGATTTCATTTAAATTGTATTACACAACTCATGAGTATTTATAATAATAATTATAATATTATTGACTGTACTGAAAAATAGAAAAACATCTAAGTAAGAAGAAAATTTCATTAAAAGAAGTATATTTTCATACTAGAAATCCAGTAACTTATAAACTGATGTTTTCTGTATATTGCGGATTTTCAAAATTAATGAAACCTAAGATTTAAAAAAAAACTCCAGAAATGTTAAATTTTGAAATAAATAATTCAGCACAATTGAAATATATACTAGTTTCAATCTCAATTCAATCCCACCTGGCTAATTAACTTTTAGAATGGTAAGTAGGAAATTGTTTTGTTAAAAATAATAGTCATAAACTCAAGTTATGTTTCAAAAGTGCCATTATAAAAATATCTCATAAAGATCTGTCCAGATATATGTGAATAATGCTTAAAAAAAGAAAGAAAAACAGAAAACAAAAACTGATCCCCTTGCAGTTGCAAACACTATTTTGCAACTGTATTCTCTCATTTTAGTTTTGATTTGAAATAAATTTCCACGGACGGAGAATGATTTGTTTGGAAATGTAAAAATATTGCCTGATAAACAAACAACAACAACAACAATAATTTCTAATAATTCTTGACTAGCGAACATGACAAAATACACTAATACTGTTATTACAACAACTAAGGAATTGACATAAAATCGATTATGAAATTTAAACATTCATAACTAGAGTTATTTATTTAAAAGTAATAACATAATCGTTGGAAGAATGTTTTCTTCTTAATTTTAGACATGACTAGTTTTATTAGCTAAACATTTCTTCATAACATGAACCTTTTTAATTTTAAAATGTATAACAAACACTGATCACAATTAAATTTGCATTACTTGGTTTAAAATCACAAGTTTTTTTTTTTCAGGCCTAAATATGCACATTTCTTAACAAACTTGTCCTCTATCATTAGGCCCAAGTGGAAGAATTGTTTTTGTTCTGGTTCAAAATATATGAATGTAACACCACAGAATATCAATTTCAAATTTACAACTGTGAATAATATGACATAGTGTTTTCAAAGAATATTAATGGTACTTGACAATCTTTTGGGCAAAGGAAGAAATTTTTAATTTTTGTTTTTAAAGTGTTGGATTTATTTTTATTTTACAAACTAATTACACCCCCAATCAAGTTCAGCGCACATTTAAGCGTGTCCTGCACTGCACATTTGTCACTTTATCGAAAAATTGTATAGTCTCTACATTTCTCTTGAACAAAGTTGACCCTTTACCCACAAGTTCGGCATCATTGACCATCGAACACTCTTAATGACTGAATAATCATGTCATCCTGAAACAGAAAAAAACAACACCGTGAATTAATTAATTTTTTAAAATAAATAGTTTGTGAATCGAATAAAACATATTTGACTATTGAAATTGATCTGAGAACATAAACTACCAAATCATTTACAATTTATCAAGTTATTTTTTAATAAAATGTTAGAGTATCTTTTAAATTTTAATTTTGGAAAAGAAAGAGATTTTTTCTAAATATTTGACCCTAGATTAAATGTTTTATGTTTAAACACACGTTATTCTGAATTTAAAGGTTATCCATTACACATGTATATCGTTTCTCTTGGATGTAAATAATATTAGACTAGAACACATTTAATATGTTATGAAAACAACATATACATTTTTATAATAAAAATAGAACATATAAGGCAAATGAAACTACGCTATAAACTGTTAGGGTAAAATTTAGGGAAATAAAATTGGTTGAATATTCTATGGTCAACTTCTATGGTCAGAAATTGAAGTCTACTGAAACAAAAACCCAAAACAAAATTATTTAAGTCTACATATCTATTTAATAAAAATACAATTACATTTTTTCTCACAGTTTGTCACTAAAATGAACAAAATTTAATGGTCTTATTACATCACCTTTATGCAGGCCTTTTACTTTTATATTTACTTTATGACATTTTTATCTTACAGTTTGTATTTTTCATTTCAATAATTCAATACTAAATATGTAAAAAAAATGTTAACAACAAAATTAAACTTTTAAAGGTTGTTTTTATCAACTGGTTATAACAGTGGAGACCAGCAGACTTTTGGATGTTTAAATGATATTAACCTTATAAGATAAAGCAATGTCAGCCAAGTTTAAATATAAAATATAACAACAATTGCGATATAAGTCAAATTCAAAATTGTGTAGCTTAGCAGTTCATCATTCAAGGAGCTTACTTAACCAGATAATTCATGAAGACCACCACATTGCAGGACGAGTAGATGGTGTAAATTTTATTTTCTGATTTAGAACCTGTGGAAAATCATTAGTCACACGAGTATATTGTATCAAATAATGGTTATTAAGTATTTATAAACAAAAACATTATAAATTAAAACTAATTTAAAGATTTAATTGTTGTAGGGTCCAGTAGACTTCAGGATTGTAGATGGTATATGATTACTCTTATAGGATTTAAGATAATCAGGCAGGTTATTGTAAGATAAAATTTTTTGAACATACCATAGTAAAATATGTAAAAAAAGCAAAGTAAAAGATTAGTAGTTATAACATCTTATTTAACTACATTATCCATGCACGGTTCAGCAGGATCTGTTCTAAAAAAAAATTTTTTCTTAAAACAATCTAAAATTTCTAAAGTCTAAAAGATTTTGGCTATTATAATTATTATGGTTCTTTTAGTCTTTATTTTTAACAGTTCAAGATGTAAAAACAATAGTATTTAACAATTAATATATTTGTAGACATAACAATCGATGGGCTTGATCTTGTGTAAATAACATGAAGTCTGGCAGGCTGCAAGCTGGCTGGTGCATGGTTGGTACGAAAGATGGCACAATGTTGATTATGATTTAAGGTTACCAGTTAAATATTTCATATAAGATTTGAACAAAGTGATGATTATATAAATACTCAATCAATTATACACAATATTTTTTTTCCAAAATGAAAAATTTGTGTCACAGGCGGGATTCGAACCCACGACTTTCGGCTCAATACGCCGCTGCTCTACCACTTGAGCTACCGTGACTTCGATCGCCCATGCCACAAACTTCTCATTTCGACTACCCGATTTTGTTCTAATTATAAGCAAATCACGGCTTCATATAGAAACATTTTTTTATTAACGATTATACTAGATTAGTGGGACTGTGTACGATTCACAGGTGTGATTCTAGATTAATACTAAATTTTATCAGCTTCTATTAATTATATAAATAATCAATTATACACAATTTTTTTTCCGAAATGGAAAATTTGTGTCACAGGAAGGATTCGAACCCATGACTTTCGGCTCTATACACCGCTGCTCTACCACTTGAGCTACCGTGACTTCGATCGCCCATGCCACAAACTTCTCATTTCGAATCCCGCCTGTGACACAAATTTTTCATTTCGGAAAAAAAATTGTGTATAATTGATTGAGTATTTATATAATTAATAGAAGCTGATAAAAAGTGATGATTTACAAATAATCTATAGGCATGTTATTAGGATTTTGGATTTATTTAAGCTGAAATCTGCACATAATGTACAGCACATGGGCAGAGTCAAGCCTCTCGTTTCTCAGTCCTCTAGCAATTCCAACTTTTGTAATTTACAATAAATTACCGACAGGCTTCGAGAATCACCCACTCTGGTGAGAAGTCGGAGTCAGACCTCTTTCCATCCAGCCATTGAGGTCTCCAGGTGGTGTCAACATCTAGGTCATTTCAGCACCCAATGTAATCAGTTCCTAAACCCAAACCCTCTCCCACTCTCATTCATTCTTAAATACATTCTTTTCTATTTACACACCATTGACTCAGTTAGGGTGATGGAGTAATTGATATTCCTCTGTAACCAGTGATGGGAATATTTAATATAAATGAATTTTGAAAACATTGTTTAATGGATTTTAACATTGTAAATAGAATAAGAAACAGTGTCAGTAAAAGGGAGACCTAGGTGCTATGTCAGCAACCTGGCCTCGGGCCGAGTGAACAGAAAACAATATAGGTCAGTAGATGCGGAGCAGTCAGAGGATGTAGTTTTCCATAAAATTCATGGAATGTGATGGGTCTTCTTCTTGGCAGGAATAATCAGTGAGTACCTGTTTTAATCAGAATTGTGGCGAAAATTTCATGTCAAATTTCACAGGAGTCCAGCCTATCCCCCCTTTTGCCAAGATCTAAACATATATAAGTAGTTTTTTAGTAGAGAGCTTGGTTGTAACCGGCATATAAAGTAGCCTTAGGATATTAGCGAGATTCATTTAGTCCCAGAATCACTCTTCCAGGATCCCGGGGTTACACCTCCATCACCCTTTACACCTATTATGTAACTATGCTAATTAAGGGTTGATGGAATACTCAATATTCTGCCATTGGCCCTGTAACATTACACATTAACACCAGTAAATATATTCACTCTCAACACAAGTACTGTATACAATAAAACAACCCTGGTTCATTCAAAAATTGGAACAAGGGACCCAAATACCCGTTTCTGTGCTCAAGCAAAATTCTCATACGCACAGAAACATACACAGATTTTGGCCCAAAAGAACATGTGTTAACCTCGCATGGCCTACCCTTAACTGGGTGAGGATTACCCCTCTTTATTTATTTATAATAGATGTTTACTTTTCAATAAGGTTGATTCTTCGCAATATAAGACAATTATAATTGCATGAATTCTGAACCAGGGTAACTTTAATTTTAAAACAATTTATTTAATAAAATATAAACAAGACCATTTCAAGACAAAATTCATACATTTTACAAATTCCAGTCATTTTTAGAACATTCAGGTTTTGAAAATCTTTTAATACTGCAACTTTTTTATCTATTGAATAGGAAGATGCATAAAAAAAATTATATATTTATTAAAATTATCGGGCCACTGTGTTAAATCACCTTGTGCCTTAACTTTAAGGAAATTATAGTTTCAAAATATAAAGTGGTATAAAATTTGATTTGTCTGATCAAAATAAACGTTAGGCCTATGTACCCACAACTGTTTTAAGCATAATACTTAAATCATTGCAGAAGTAATAAGTATACATTCATTTAAATAATATATAGAGGTATATATTATATATAACATATATAATATATAAACAAAAATATTATAAATTTAAAGATTTAATTATTGTAGGGTCCAGCGGACTTCAGGGATTGTAGATGGTGTATGATTAATCTTATAGTATTTAAGATAATCAGGCAGGTTACTGTAAGTTAAAATTTTTTGAACATACCATAGTAAAATATATATAAAAAAAAAGTTTAGTAGTTATCTTGTAACATCTTATTTAACTATATTATCAATACACAGTTCAGCAGGATCTGTTCTAGAAAAAATTATAACATAATATATATAATAGAGGGCATTAAGTGAACTGAATTCTTACTTGCTCAATAAATTATGCTTATTGTCAAAATACCCATAACAATTGACAAATGTTACTACTGATATAACTGTAATTTTAATAATTGTTATTTGAATCAAAATCAATTCTCATTGGGACGATTACTACAATTTAAAGGCAAGTATAACATCATACGAAGTTATTTTCAATTTGACCCAAAGGCCGGCCAAGACGAATAGACCATTGGGAGGACAAATCGACCTCATTTTCTTTGGTATTCGCTACGATTTAGGAACATCATTTTGTTCAGATTCTATTAGTTTTTCTAGGGGCTACAATTATTTAGTTACTGGGAAAAAGTTTGTTCAATACTATTGGGGTCAAATAGCTATAAATTTAGTAATTAGATTTTTTGTATTTGCCATTTTCTATGAGTTTTAAAGTTAAAGAAAACTTTTGTCTTCATGTTTATTCTATTTTAGTTTTGATAATTTAAGCACATAAAAAAAGGGATCGTCTTTCTTTAGTCAAAGTTGGTCCATTGGTTATTCATAATAGTACAATTTTCAGTAGGGTAATTAAGTAGAAATACTAATTGAATAGTCTGAACCTTAATAAAGGCGGTTTTTGAATTATCAATCGTTCAGAAGTAGGAGAATTGCTCAATTATTAATTAAACTGGTGTTCTATTTTTGCGTCCGAGGACGAAAGAGGGTGTCAGGTGGGATCTGACGGATTTACAACCCTTGGCCTCGTCCATGGCACAAAAGGTAATTAATTAGCGGTCATCGACACCAAGACCGTTTATGAATGGCGATGAATGAGAAGGACGAGGAGGAGGGGCGAGGCCCCCCCCAAGCCGAAAATCGATTGCGGTTGTTCGCAGGTGATGTATCCTGGGTGGGTTGACGCAAAATCACACTTTCGGACTCCCGTCCGACGCTTCGACCGCGAA